GAGTGGGACGGAGCCAGCAGTGATGAGCATACAGTCTCTGGAGAGCTGGACGGAACCAGCAGTGAAGAGCATTCAGTCTCTGGAGGGCTGGACGGAACCAGCAGTGAAGAGCATTCATTCTCTGGTGAGCTGGACGGAACCAGCAGTGAAGAGCATTCAGTCTCTGGTGGGCTGGACGGAACCAGCAGTGAAGAGCATTTATTCTCTGGTGATCTGGACGGAACCAGCAGTGAGGAGCATTCATCCTTTGGTGAGCTGGACGGAGCCAGCAGTGAAGAGCATACAGTCTCTGGAGGGCTGGACGGGACCAGCGGTGAAGAGCATTCAATCTCTGGAGAGCTGGACGGGACCAGCGGCGAAGAGCATTCAGACTCTGGAGAGCTGGACGGAACCAGCGGTGAAGAGCATTCAATCTCTGGAGAACTGGACGGGACCAGCGGCGAAGAGCATTCAGACTCTGGAGAGCTGGACGGAACCAGCGGTGAAGAGCATTCAATCTCTGGAGAGCTGGACGGAACCAGCGGTGAAGAGCATTCAATCTCTGGAGAGCTGGACGGAACCAGCGGTGAAGAGCATTCAATCTCTGGAGAGCTGGACGGGACCAGCGGCGAAGAGCATTCAGACTCTGGAGAGCTGGACGGAACCAGCGGCGAAGAGCATTCAATCTCTGGAGAGCTGGACGGGACCAGCGGCGAAGAGCATTCAGACTCTGGAGAGCTGGACGGAACCAGCGGTGAAGAGCATTCAATCTCTGGAGAGCTGGACGGAACCAGCGGTGAAGAGCATTCAATCTCTGGAGAGCTGGACGGAACCAGCGGTGAAGAGCATTCAATCTCTGGAGAGCTGGACGGAACCAGCGGTGAAGAGCATTCAATCTCTGGAGAGCTGGACGGGACCAGCGGCGAAGAGCATTCAGACTCTGGAGAGCTGGACGGAACCAGCGGCGAAGAGCATTCATTCTCTGGAGAGCTGGACGGAACCAGCGGTGAAGAGCATTCAGTCTCTGGAGAGCTGGACGGAACCAGCGGTGAAGAGCATTCAATCTCTGGAGAGCTGGACGGAACCAGCGGTGAAGAGCATTCAATCTCTGGAGAGCTGGACGGAACCAGCGGTGAAGAGCATTCAATCTCTGGAGAGCTGGACGGGACCAGCGGCGAAGAGCATTCAGACTCTGGAGAGCTGGACGGGACCAGCGGTGAAGAGCATTCAGACTCTGGAGAGCTGGACGGGACCAGCGGTGAAGAGCATTCAGTCTCTGGAGAGCTGGACGGAACCAGCGGTGAAGAGCATTCAGTCTCTGGAGAGCTGGACGGAACCAGCGGTGAAGAGCATTCAGTCTCTGGAGAGCTGGACGGAGCCAGCGGTGAAGAGCATTCAGTCTCTGGAGAGCTGGACGGAACCAGCGGTGAAGAGCATTCAGTCTCTGGAGAGCTGGACGGAACCAGCGGTGAAGAGCATTCGGGCTTAGAAGGGCTGACGGTGCGCGCAGGCCTTCTGGGGACAAGCATCAAGCGGGGGCGCCAGAACGGGAGTTCATATTCGGGAGGACTGGACTGAACCAGCCGGGCGGAGAGTCTATGCTCGGGAGAGCTGGACGGAACCAGCGGAGAGAGCTCGGGCTCGGCAGGGCTGGTGGGGACCAGCGGAAAGGAGGGCTCCGGTGTTGGAGTGGGGCTGGTGCCATCATCGATGGTGAAGGGAGAACCGCAGGACACCAGCACCCACTCCACATATGCTGAAAAACTCCCCTGGGGACCATTCCCGGACAACTGCTCTCTGGTGGCGGTGTTGAGACCGGCGTACAGGAAGCTGCAGAGGCAGTCGTCCGGGAAGGTTGTGGCGGAAGCGAGGTGGAAGAAATCCGCCAGATGATCCTCCAGAGACCGGTCCGCTTGCTCTAAACAGAGCAATTGGACCCCTACGAAAGGGTCCATTTCTTTTTCTTTTCCTTTTTTGGAGGTCGGTCGATCTGTCACGGGGTATGGTGCAGGAGAACAGGAGTGCAGACGGAAGGAATAGGAGGAGTCCAGGTTCACACGGAAGGTAACATTTATTTCAGGATACAGGCAAGGATTCAGGTAACACGGGGTAACATTCGACATCGACCGACAATCATGGGTAAAACAGAGGGAACTAAATACACAGAATAATCAAACATAATGGGATGAGAACAGGTGAAACAGATGATGATGACGAGGAACAGGTGGCTGATGAGGGAGTGAACACGGGATAGGGTGACGAGAGGATCCTGGGAAGTGTAGTGCTGCTGACGGGACAAACAGGTGAAGACGAAGACTGTGACAGGTGCCTCTTCTGATCTTTGCTATCCATTCAATGCATGCTGACAAGCTCAGTGAAAAAGAAATCCATCCCAAATGGTGGATGAAGTGTAATATCTATAATAAAAATCATAGTTTTCACTAGAAAAAATGGTGCTGGTCACGAGGTTTCATTTTACAGACATTTCGATGGTATGCCGGTCAATTATTGCCTCTTAATTAGTCAAGTTGAGGAAAACTGTAGGCAGACTATGTAACTTGAAAAATTACATAATCAGGCCGTATAGAATGCAAAATGTTATTATTACTAGCCTAACTTTCAAATAGACTGAAAAAAAAAAACATGAACGTCCGATTGGCGTCAATCAACACCAATTGTTTTTACTATGGTTTCATACACATTCACTTTTTGAAACATTGAGGCACGGATATACCTATTACAAATAAATAAAATATCTCCAGTTAACTAGCTTTAGTGTCCGCTGCTATTAGATCAATAAAATAATTTTTATTTTTGCGTGAACTAACCCTTTAAGATTGCACGGGTCAAACTTAACAAAAATAATGCCAATTTTTATTTATTTATTACTGTTTTGTGGTGGGGCCACAATGTGAACCACTGGCTCGACTGGGTCCAGTAGGGAAGTCCTTAGTGCTGAGCCTTGCCTTATCATAGAATGAGTAGTATGCTATTCCAAAATCACGATACCTTAAATTGTTCATCAGGCTTCTTATTTTGCATGCAACGCATACACATACGAAAGAACAAAATTAGAGGTTGTCAAGAATGTCAAGAATTTTCTCAAAAAATAGATCAACATAGATGTTCATGGCAATGATTATAATACTCCATCTAATCATTTTGGAGGTCTAAATTGCTGTCCTCGAGCTGCGATTGCCAGATTGACACTTATTTATTTGGACCGTGTTCAACAAAACACAGTCCCTGCGTTTATTTTTATTGATGTCGAGCAGGAAGCGGCATACGGCTGCTGGCAGCCACCCTGAATTATGAGGAAGGTGATTACAGCCCCTCTCTCGCTCTCTCCATAGCCAAAGATCAGTGAGACAGAGGAAGACAGCTCTTGTAATCATACTTAATAGTCTTGTTGTTTGTGAGTGTGCGTGGTAATGATGCTGGCACTTCAGGATGGGCTCACAGGGGACCCACTATTGTTTCTTCGCCTCATTGCCTTCCACTGACACCACAACAGGTCCCTATGTGAGGTTCCAAGCCAGTTAATACAAAAAAATAAAGATTATAAGATTATCCCAGCAATGGCTCTAATGATCATGCATTGAGTGGACCAATCACTGTAATGTACTTTCTCAGGATTCCATGTTTATGGCCTCCATCTCCATGTTATGATCCACATAAAGTTTCTCATAATAGCTCAAAATGCTGTTTGCTAAATTAATGACGTGAACCCTCTTGTTCTTTTGGCATCAACGTCTTGTTGTTTTATATACTTCTCTGTTTCATTTTGTGACCTGAACAAGACTGAGCTAAAGCACATCTAATCTAAAGCACATTTGAATGATGTTGGCATGCCGCGTTTGTCAAGCCTGTTCGGCATGCCAGACAAATCAAACCCAATGCACAAAGTGTACGCGACACGGGAAATACACACTCAACAGAATTAGAGTGATTCATTCTCAGAAAAATGATTCACCCTTTTAATTTTGAGAAAAGCAATGATAATGTCCAAGGAAATTCATGTTTCCTCTCACTGAACACGATAAACTATTTTTATTTGTGATTATATGTGACATTTTCCTGGCCATTTGACCTGAATCATCTCTTCTAGAAGAGTAATGGAGTTCTAAGTGAGGGTTCAAGGACAGCTAGTTAATCTAATCATGATATAAACAGCTCCTTACCTCACTATGATGATTCTGAAAACTCAAATACATTGATTTGCTGTATTTATAATAACTTCAGTAAGTAGTTCTGGCGAGCATGACAAGTCTCTCTACATTACACTCAAGGATTATATACACGGGTTAACACGTGTAACAGTTTCAGGGGGAAATAACTGGTTAGAACAAACTAGTCTCAATGACAAAACTTGTTTAAAGGAATGGTTAACAACACAAAAATAAAATTGTCGTTTACATACCCATGAGTCATTCCAAACCTGTATGAGTTAATTGGGGGAAAGCTGACTTACATTGTATGAACCTAAACTTTTTTTTTAATCTTATCTGGTGTTTTACAGTAGAAGGAAAGTAATTCAGGTGTGTAATGACATGAGGGTGATAAATTCAAGAATTTTCAAATGCTCAAATAAATCCCTAAAGGAATATTCAAAGTCGAACTGTAATGTTAAAAACAAATGGATAGGTGCCAAAGTTTATGAAGTGTTTCTATGCTGCATATTCTTAATTTTTGAACAGTACATTAGTTTTCCATCACTCTTAGTTCAAGATTCATTGTATATTCAGCACATTTAACCCTGGTCATTAGGAACCCACCCTCAATTGCTTTATAACCGGTCATCAATAACATGTCAAGAGCCCCTCTAGCAGTCTGTAATCATATTGATTCACATACCATGAAGTAGCACCTTTTACTCAACTATGTGATGAATATCTGAGCTAGTGCATTTATTCCCATTTAAATATGGTGATGGAATAAATTATCTTGAAAAATAAAATACACAGAGACAGCATGCATGCAGGTCTTCACCTGTTACTGCTAATGTGCTCTGACAGACTCACCTCTGCAAAGCATGAAGAATATGAGCCCAGCTAGGCTGAGACGCAGCATCTTCAGTTCCTCTGAAGTTGGTCAAGGAAGGAGAAGGGAACGGGTCAGTTTTTTTCCCACCGACAAATCTTCCTCAGAGTCTACAGCACGGTATATACAGCCTTCATCTTTTTACAAGCAAGAAACAGATTAGGTTAGATGTTTCGCCCTCCGAGCATCTCGACACGAGTCTCTCCTGCGGTGCAGTAACTAAATGTTGTCATCTTGACAGCCATGATTTGTTTCGCGGGTTTTAAATGTCTTCTGAAGCGTCTGAGGAGCACATTCAACACTAAATATATATCCTTGAAAAGTCCCAATTTGTAGTGCTGTGCTACAAGTGTCTGTTGTTAAAAGAAGACTGGTGGTCGCGAATGAGTGGTCCGTCTAAATAAGCCTCAGTACACACAGCTGTGTGGTGGAGAATCTCAAAGGAAAGTTGAACATCGCTTGTGAGGCTCAGCAACGCTTCGTAATGATGTAAAAAATCCACTGTAGGCTATTCCAGGACGCGCGAGGTGTCCACGCGCAAAAAAGACCGAAGTCACTTTTAAAAGAGAATGTCAGTGATTAAGAACCAATTTGGAGCTTTTACATAAACAAGTCCTCATTTAGAAATGATGACGGCAATATATAGCCCACATATACTCCGAGCTTCCATACTTATTTAATACACTTTAAGAAATGAATAGGCGTCCTCCTGTAGGTGCATGTATCGCCCGTCACAGTTTTGATGCCGAAAAGCAAGTGATAAACTTCAACAATGTGAGGAAAGAATAATAAAAATCATTTATTCTGTGAAAATGCTCGTTCTTTCTCTCACCCATGAAGTCCACAGTGATATTCCTTGTGCTTTCGTCTGCTCTTTGGGTTCCGCAGCGACAAGAACAGTGAGTCATGAAACACACACACACACACACACACACTCCCCTCTCTCTCTCTCTCTCTCTCTCTCTCTCTCTCTCTCTCTCTCTCTCTCTCTCTCTCTCTCTCTCTCTCTCTCACACACTCTCTCTCTCACTCTCACTCTCTCTCTCTCTCTCTCTCTCTCTCTCTCTCTCTCTCTCTCTCTCTCTCTCTCTCTCTCTCTCTCTGACTGGCAAATACTGCTGAACTGGAAGCAATGGCGGCTTTAGAATGGCAAAATTTTAAACTTCAAAATATAATGTAGCCTATAATAAAATAAGATGAACGAGTCAACTTCATTCGAAAGGTTATAAATAGTTTGCTAGCGATGCATAGTTTAGGCCATGTGTAGGTGCATGCATTGCAAACTAGGAAACTACATCTGTTGTCAACAGTTAATCAATCAATATGCCCCATGTCTTAATTTGCGGAAAGGGAGGAGCCTTGATCCTAAAGATGGAGGCTATTATAAGTATATTTTTCAGATTATTCTATCCCATTTCAGTGAGTTATGGTTATATTATAATAGTGATGGTGCAGATGATAAACTAGTATTTGAGTGATTGGACCCTATTGTAAGCTACTGCATTTGCTTCAACAAGCATGACAGTGCCCTCTAGTGGTAAAACTCGTGTCCATGCAACTGTCAATGGTCCATGCATGGCATTATGCTGATGTTGCGACGTAAAGCGTGCTGCTAACGGCGCTATTTTTTCGTGTTCTTCTTTGTTTCTTTCTTTTTTCAAAGATTTTTGGTGTGTGGCCTGGGATCTGTCATATTTTGCATTTAAGGTAGGCGAATACGTATCGTCACTCAGCTGGTTTGTCGTTGCTGTCTGAGATTTTGAATTGTTTCCCTCAGCCATGAAAGGATGGAGACCTGAGACAGTTTGAAAGTTTCTCCGTCTGTCTGTACAAAGTTGAATGTTTAAGGAGGCAAGCGTTGAAGCTGCTTGTGATTGATTGTCTTTTACTAAAGAACTCGTTGTAACATCCCCTACCACTAAATGACATTGAAAACATGTTTACACATTCAAATATGTATTTAAATATTACAGCATAAAGGTTTGGTTTAAGGATTGCTGCTGACTTTATTATCTTTTTGGCACCCTGTAGCTATCCTAAAATGTATCTTATAAATTAAATGTAGCCTATTAAAATCATTTTCATCTTGGAGTAACCGAATAGTCCATCAATCACACTTTTCTTCCTGCAGGTTGTAAATTTAATGTGGCCCACTGTGAGGGTCTGGCTTTAACCTTGTACTCACTTACACCATTGCTTAACAGAGATATCGACAGAAATAGTAGCCGATGACTCCCTTACCGCTCAAGTCAGCAATTACTGTCAGTTCACAGAGGGAAGATGTGTGTTGATTTGGAAAGAAAGAGGCATTTAGGAAGACCCACATGCACAGGCATCCAATTAGCAAACACATTAATTGCTTTGCCAAATTCAAGGCAGGGTATTGAAAGTTTTCCAACCATGCTTACAAAGAGTCTTTTGTAATTGGCTGCGATGAGACTCCTGTAATAAACTGTAAAGTAGAAAACATATCAAGCTGCTAAACACAAACAGAACATTCATATAGAGCGCCATTGCAAAGAAATTAAGTGAGTATTGAGCCCATTTTCTCTCTCTCCATTTGCACTCAGTGCCATATCTTGTCTGTCATTACAGTGTATTCACCAGGTTGATTGCCTTGACCCATGTCAGGTGATTAACATTTATCAGTCTCTCTCTGGGCAAGACCTTTCTCCTGAGATGTTTCAACTGGCATGCTCTTTTAGCATCCTTATTGACAACGTTTTTCTCATTACTGGTTTCAACACATTCACATGTCAGTGCATGTCATGATGGTTTAGCCTGTGATGCCTCCTGTGATTTATTATTCATATAGCCAGCTGCATGTTCCTTTTATGCTCTATTAAGAACTTCACACAACTTCATGCAGTGATAGTGCAAGAGTCTTATGGGAACAACTGCTGTGATGGTAAAAGCAACATGAAAACATATTTGGCACTGTACTTTCTTAATACATGTTCATGGTCTTGAAAATACAAAGCTGTTCAAAGGTTTGTGGCCTGCCTTTTCTCAAGATTTTTTAATGTATTTGAAAGTCACATATGCTCAGCAAGGATGAATATATTTAATGAAAAATACTGTAAAAACAGAATTATGAAACAATATTACAATTTAAAATAACTAATTCTTATTATAATAATGTAATCACATGATCCTCCTTCATTTGGTGCTCAGATAATATTTTTATTATCATCAATGTTGAAAAGAATTGTACTGCTTAATATTTTTGTTGATACCATGATAAAGGAATATTTGATGAATAGAAACTTCACAGCATTTATTTGAAATATATTTCTCGAGTTCGCACTTACAAATAAGTCAGATAGAATAAATGCGTATTTCGCATGCTGTCCGAGGAGAGGGCCCTGGGTTCGATTTTCGGCCCAATCCCAGAGTACCTCCGTATTCCTGGCTGTGAAAGAAGCCAAGAGTGAGGAGTCAGGGTGGTGGAGGGATGCTGAAACTGTCAAGGAATGTTAGGTGAGTTGACAGAGTGAATATATGCTTCCTCTCGTCCTGATGGGGTAGACGGTAACTGTTTGATGACAAGTTGATTGGAATGATTGTTTGAACGTTCTCCTCCTGAACTTTGTTTATAAAACAATTTATTTTTCACTGTTGTTTAAAGCTTCAATATGTAATTTTGCTAACCTCTTAGGCGTAGGTTGATGATGCAGTGATAAGTGGAATAATGGAACTTGCTGTCATGCTGATGGATCGTTTATGGATGAGGGAAAACATTCATGTTTTTAACATGACTGTGGTATGAAGCAGGGTGCAATTAGAGACAGATATCAGCGCCACATTCGAATCCCGCGGATATAAAGCAATGAGGAAATTGATTGATTGAAATGAGTCAATTTATTTGACAAATTAAACTTGTGAGTAAACCAGTGCTGTTTCACTTGGTCTACACTATCATACTAAACTGCATTTGAGTGTGTTGAACGTTATAATGTTATTCTATGTGATAGTTTGCTGTATGACAAGCAGTAAGCTAGATCAACATTAGAATAACATACTGATAGCATACCATTTCATCATGTTGAGATATAATATTGATTTGTTTAATGTATTTGCTCACTAATAAAGCACATGGAAAAGTGACATCTCAGTCAAGTTGAGAAGCTCTGTCAAGTCGAAGTTTGCCGTGAAGCTCTAGGCATCTTAAAAACGCAACGCCGATATTTATCCTCGTTTTAATTCTCCTTTTGATCCAAAGTTTACTTGCCATTATCCATAATGTTCAAACGAAACAACGACAGCGTGCTACTAGATGTTACGCAGTTGTCCACATCTTTCGCCATGGTTACTATGGCAGTACAAGCGGAAACCAGGGATAACGCGGATATTACGTCATTGACAGGCGCCAAGTGACAAGGGATGGGCGCACAATTTGAAATTGTAAATTTCTCTGATTTCACAAATTCTTGGGAACTGTCACTAACTGCTTTGAAACACAAAGGTTGAGGAACCAAATGCAGTTTTTATTTTGAAAGGGTAATCCAAAAAAACAAATCCAGGCAAGGGTCATACACAAACAAGTAATCCAAACAATAACAAAAAAAGGGCTGAGGCAAGGAGAGACATCCAGGGGAACAGGCAGAGAATAAAGGTAACCAGGACATAGGAGAGATACAAACACACTCAGAATTGCAGCACAAACACTAAACAAGACTTTACAGGGAATGACAGAAAAAAACAGGTTCATGGTGACCAAACAAGAAGAAGTCCAGGGTATTATGGGAGATGTAGTTTGTGGATGTGTGGTGATTGTCCGGGTTGGAGAAGTGCCCTCTGATGATTATCCCAGGCACTCTCACTGGTGATCATTACAGAAAAATTTGAATGCTATCACATTACAGACGTAAAATGTCATTTCACATTGACTTTTAAGTGGTGAACATGTTTTAAACATTCAACAATAATGTAATATATGTATTTGTTATTTGGGTTTTTCTAAACAAAATGTAAAGGAATCAGATTCACTTTGTTAATACATGTGAGGGCAAAAAATAAAGGTTCCAATAAAGGTTTTCACAGGGTTTACCAATGAAGAACAGTTCTTAAAAGAGCTTTTTCTTAGTGCGAAGAACATAAAAAAAAAATACAAGGAACGTTTTTCCATTATAAAGAACCTTTTTCGATGGTTAAATTGATGTAAAAAAAAAAAAGGCTATTAATGGATCATCAATGCAATAAAGAAACTTTATTTTCAAGAGTGTAATGAACTAACTTAAAATATAATTATATTGTGTTCTTTACTGAAGAAAAGAAGGAAGGATTTCACTTGCACTTTAATTGTTTTGTGTATGATAATACTGCTTTGTCTTTTGTATTATATCTTTTAATAATTGTATAAATTTGTATTATATGTTTGCAGAGCATGCCATACAACGTTTAAGATTTGTATAATGTTTTCTGTGACTCAGACAAGCTTTTATTCTTGAATGCATGGCCATTAATCCTGCAATGATTGAAATAGCATGTAATATAATTAATTATAACAGTTGTTTTTGTCATCAGTTTTTATTGGCTAACAGTCATCGGTCAAATTTCCCCTGGGTGTGTGTTAATTTTGATGGAACGAGGCTCGAAGACTTAATTGAGATTTCTGTGTTGGCTAGGATTTAAATCTGTTTATTATATTAGTGTCATGTAAAAATAGATAACCTTAATGACAGAAGTTAATTAGTGTGGTCATTTATTCAAGGTTTACACGCTCGCCTAAAGTCCCGTTTTTGTCCCAGAAGTTGTACAAGCCAATTAATGTGATGCCTCTGGGAACAGTTTATGACTCGAATTATAAGACATGTACCATGTTCAGGGAAGTTTATGTTCTCTGTGTTTATTACGCTGTATGTCAACAACGC